GGGGGGAGCGGGGAGGGAGGGGAAAAATGAGAACCTAATGTTGGGGGTTTAAGTGGAGAGAAAATGTTTTGAGAAACGATGTACAAATGCACTTTACACAATTGATGTGTGTATGGATTGGGATAACAGTTGTATGAGCCCCTAATAAAATGTTAAAAAAAAAAATCATTTGCCAAGAAAATCAAAGACTTGCTTAAATAACCTGGTGAGGAAATTGCTGAGCAGATAGCTGAAAATTTTCATCCAGTACACTGGAATTTAGGCCATTGCTTTATTTGGACCTATATGTCTTATTCTCAAAGATGGACCTGAGTAATGAAATAGCTATTAATAAAAGAAAGCTGTTAACTCACACAATCTTCTAGATATAATATAAATAGTATATCAGCTAAATACTTTAGAAATAATTAGTAAAAAGAAAAATGCTCAAACTCACTGCATTGAGTCAACTCTAACTCACAATGCCCCTAAAGAACAGAGGAGAATTGCTCTTTTGGGATTCTGAGATTGTAAATCTTTACAGTAACAGAAAACCTAATCTGGTGTTTTGGAATTGTGGACCTTGTAGTTAGCAACTCAAAGCATAATCCACTATGCAACCAGAGCTCACTGAAAAACAAAACAAAAATACCCTACATAAAGCTAATTTTTAAACTGCCATGTAAAACTATTTAGGCAAGGTCTGACCAATAACATATATGTCTGAGGTGAGAAGCAGGGTCTTGTTTACAAGGAGGTCAGGAAGTGAGGGAGTCATAGAGTCTGAAGTGCCCAGCAGCTATGTAGTCATGCTCCTGCAGCTTGCAGCATCAGTTGTGGTTGCTGATGGATGGCACATGTCCAGCTCAACTGGACTGTAAGCCACTCACTCTAAGCTCCTGGGGACTACTCAGAGAACAAAACAGGAGGAAGTCAATTGCAGGTTCAAGATCAGAAATCCTGAAGCTCCAGTGAGGTAACAGAAGGCCACAGCACCTTGCATGTGCAGGTGGGGGTAAGGGGGGGATAGTATTTGATATCTAAGCATCTTCGGAAATATACATATGTATTATATATAGCAGGGTAAGTCAAAAAGGATAGCTACTAGGGCTCCAGTTCATATATGCATGGGTTTTATTCCAAATAAAACCTGTCTGAACATGTCCTGCAATCGGTAGATGGCTGCAGACAAATCCCCCATGTAAACATTCAGTAACACATTTATTTCATTAAGATGCCTTTTAAAAAGGGTCCAATAAAAATTGGTTTCTGAGGAGATCTACTGAGTGGGTTAAAGATCACCTTAGAAAGGTGTTGGGACTATCCCAGGGATGTATTATAAAGAACTTTTAAGAAAACTGAAAGCTGCATTGGTGAGAAAAGGGCCAGGAGAGTTAATCAGATATTTCATAATAATGTAATTGCTAATTTTTTAATGGTAGCAAGCGTTCCTATGAGAATTTTGTTGGGAAAGTTTACCCTATCCACCCTACAGCCTTATCTTGCCCCAGAACACTTCACTTTTTTCTTCTAAATGTAAAGAATATTTAAAAGGGACACAATTTGATTGAGCCCCTTGAGGACGCAAAAACTGAAGTTTTGATGTGGCAAAACTGAAGAGCGTAGAATTCTTCAAGGAAAGGCTAGAGAAAATTGTATAAACCTAGATGGAGGTTATGGTGAAAAACAATAGCTTCATATTTTGAATATTTTTATTTGATACAGGTTCCTTTCATTTTACAGGAATGCTTTTTAAATACCCTTATTTATCTATTTAATTAACACTTACATAAAGCTTAAGTGCCAAAAACTACATCACCTGACTCTGACCTGTTAGCAACACAATATGGTACTGCTATTACTTACAATTTGTAGGAGAAACTGAGGCACAAACAAGAGACTAAAAAGCTGGTCCAGGGTCATATAGCTGATAAGCGGCCAACCCAGAGTTGAATCCCAGTCACCTAGCCCAGATCCCAGGCCTAAGACATTTACTGTGTTGATCAGCAGAACCTGAGATACCAATGACACAACAAAGGACTAAATACTAAAGTGTACAGAATTCTGCAACACTTCAATAAGAAAAAATCCAATTAAAAGGTGGGCAAAAGACATGAATAGACAATTC